CGGTGCAAGAAAGCACTTCCGGACAAGTCTCCGAAGTGCAGGCGATCACCATCTAACTGCATTGACCAACACTGACTTGTTCACACGTATGCATGACCCTCACACGAGTTTGTGAGTCAAACTTCATTGGTCTGGTCCTGCAGTTGGGCGGCCGCCTGAGAGGAATGCCGGCGTAATCTGCTACCGCCATCTTAGTATTGCGGAGTATTTTGAGTCCCAATTCGAAAAAGTGCTTTTGTTTGCAGGGTGGCATGATTTGCTGTGACAAAACCCCAGAAAACCGTCTTCCTTTAATCGAAGGACTGATGGTCATGCGGCTGCTTAAAGAATTGGCAAAACATTGGAGTCCCCTGACAACCCACAATCCGCCTTCTTCCTTACTCCCACGCTTCAATCGTCCGGCTAATGCTCAGACTCGCGATGTATCCACGTTTCTGAGTGCAGAACAAGTTATCATCTTTTCACTGACAGCCTTGACTTAACTCATTATTGGCCTAAAGGCTGATTTAGCTAGAGAAAACATTAATTACACTATAAAAGTGTGATTACGAGGCAATGTTTGTCACTGGAATAAGGCGCATTGTGAGATCAACGATAACGACGAAAATGCAGTTGTGCATCTTCATGCAGATGTTACCCCTGTGATGGAAGGCAAAGCAGGAGGACGAGAAAGCGATGCAGATAAGGCAGCTGGTCGCAGTGGTGGCATTGCAGCATGAGGCTTGTGGTGGTTCAGCAAGAGGACATCAATAATTACCTTTCTCCATGGCTCCCCTCTCCTTCTCCGTTCCCACTCCCAGTGTCTGCTGGAGGAATGCAGACGAATGGTACATGACGAGCAGTTCATAAAATGTGACGAGTAGTGGATAGAAATGGTAAGCAAGCAGATAAGATTGGATCGAAATGAGATACTGGGGAGTAGCAAGGATAACACCCAAAACCAACCAGACAACGCTTGTGCATATTACCCAGTAACCGGCACTTGTGCGCAGATGTCTTGATACATTCGGTCTAGTGAAGTTAGTCCTCGAGTTACCTCAACAATCGCACTCAATTCTCCACCGCATTCGATGTGCACACAGGTTTTCTGCTTCATTCGTGGTGGCTGGAAACGCAAGCGAATGAACAATGATGGCCCCGGTTTACCCACTACCGAGGTACTTCGTCCAGTAAATTCAATGAGGTGAGTGTGATCGTCACGCCCGACATTCATGATGACTTCCAATACACAGAAGCACCGCCTCCTACTGCCTGCTTGGCAAGTCTTGTAAACAACTTCATGCTGGAGAGCAAGCTCAAACCAAATTGCCTAACAATTTGTTCTATAGGAAAATGTCACGACAACGTCCCCACCAAGTGATCTTCACTAACCCCATCCTCACCATCATCACAATCACCATAATTCCACTGCTCTCATTTGTTGAAGCAGTTGGGATTGGCAAAGGCGTCGAAACACTACGTGGTAGTGCATACTCAGATAGAATCCATCAAGGATAAGAGGGAGAAGTTGGATAAATTACCACGACACTGAATGCTCGATGACTACGAAATTCAGGAAGTGACAAGTCGTTACCCAAATCAGACCACTGCGATGAGGTCCTGTCTCGACATCCAATGCTTCTATTCTTGCATCTTCCTTGTCTTGCAAATAAGAGCACATTCAGTAACCCTGCGCATCTCCTCCTTCCTCATATCTTTCTTAACTCTTTTATTAATACTACTTCCTTCTCTTCTATTCCCCCTTTTTCATCCTTTAAGCAACCTTTACTTCCCCTCCCATTCTTTCATACACTCACCAACCAGCCAACCAGTCAACTGTCAGGCGTGATGTTCACACGCATTTTCAAATTTGCAATTATTAAGAGCTTCTGCGATCCCTACCTCGCGTCGACGGCAACGGGTCATTCCCTACCCCTTTACCATCACACTCACAGAGTAGGTACTCCCAGATACTACGGAATTGAGTCAACTTGAAGTTGCACGATATTGTCCACCCCCTTCCAGACTGCAGTGAAAAGCATGCGAGTAAAGGAAGAAATTGCTGTGAGTGAAGATCAGGCAGTGTCAACACTCAGCGCCTCGTTCCTTTTCCATTTCATATTTGCATAGTAGTGGTAGCATCCAAGCCTTAAGAAGTAGGCAATCATCGAATGACGAAGGTTAATGGTTCTTTAAAAGGCTATTTTTCGACATGCGACTCGGTGAAGAAATTAATATTTACCCGATGCGCTCATAATTCTGCCTCTCCTGCTTCGAAACACCTGCCACCTTCCTCACCTATCCGTCCCAACTTCAGGTTGAAATTGACGACAAATGGTAAAATGAACACATCATCAAAATGCACCACTTAAACTTGGTGTGTAATACAAAATCCTGGGGTACGTTTCATCGGTTTGGGGTGGTAAACAGAGTTCCTTCGTGTAATACCTCACTGATTTGGCTATGTGTAGTCTGGTGGACACTCTGGCTTGACCAAAATTCTACACTTAAAACATATATGTGGGTGAAAAGTGTTAAACTAACATGAACCTCCATTACGAAGACGAACACACACTTTCTGGAAAATTTTACTTTGCCATTTTCTGACAAACCAAAATTCCACTCTCTGCATTCAAGATGATGCGGTTTCAGTCAAATCACATCATGTAAAAATGATTAAGTTAGAATCGCACAACGAAGAAAATGTGTATTAAAATCTTCGTGACATAACACTTTTCTATCAAACTGCTGCCAACGACAGTGACTATAGTTTGGGCACAGGACTTGCGTCGCATTTTTGTACAAAATTCAGTCCACACTTGTTGTGCTGTATGAAGTCAGGTGGATCTGCAATTATAGGTTTACATCTGCACAGTAAATGGCTTTGTGTGGTGCTGAGGAAGTTGTGGATTTGCGAAACAATAAGTATATGCTTATTGAAGCTCAAAACATAAGTGAATTTGCTTGCGAATATGCTTCTCTGAAGACTTACTTGGTGGCATACGATGACCCACTTTCTGGTGAGGCTTGTCTTCGGCGAAGGTTATTTCTGTTTCACCACTTTGTGTTTGATTGGTGTTTGTAATCAACGAAAATTTCTGGCGAAGGGACCTACTTTACTGCAAAGGTGTGAGATTGATGTGATTATCATCCATTTGTTTGTTGTCTGCCTACTATTAAGTACCAATTTTACCTGTGCATTATTAGTCCGCTCATCTGCTTCGTACACTTGCTCAATTGGAAGAGAAAGATAAAAGGAGGCTGGTGGTTTGTCCTGCTTCCGACAGAAATTCGTAAGGGTGCCGGCTTTGTCTGACAGGACCATACTTGTAGCGGCTACTTTGTACTACCCTAGCAGTTTATGACGGTTTGTTGAGGGAGTGGTGGGTGGGTGTGGCTGACGAGGTCCAATTTCTATCGAAGGACTTTGCTCATTTGTGAGTGCTCACCGCCCATTCTCTATTTTTGCTGTAGAAAGTTGTGACGGTTTGCCAACTGATGAGCACTGCATTTTGCTTGCCATAGTCCGACGCATCGAGAAGTGCTTAATGCACTTTGGGATGCATCATGATGCAAAATGATATTCTGCTATAGTCGAAATGTAAGTAGAATTTATCGCTGATGGTGAATGGAACTTTGAGTTATGGGTTAGATAACTGCCGCATTAGTCACTTTTCGTGAATGAGATTGCTCCTTACTGATAGTTATAAGTGGAAGTAATTGTTGTTGGCTAATGAATTCTCGATTCCAGCACGATCGCACATACTTTTGTATGCCAAAGACAAAATTTTATTCTTTACGTCTCATCTTGCATACGAAACTAATTAAGACGGAATTCACAGGTCATACCAACTTCAAATTGCCCCTTGCCTGACTCTTCAGGGTACCGTCGGAGGACCACTCTCACCTTCTCTTCAGCTCAACAGCGGACAGCTCGTTACTAAGTCAACCAATTTTTATTCTCGCATCACAAAATAGGATTTAACTAGTCAGACACAAACAGGGTCAAAATACACTTTGTAATCCTAACGTTATTTTCACGTGCATATTAAATGGTCAGAATCGGGAGGTGCCAAACATTTCGGTGTATGGTGAGGCACTGGCAAGAGTCCAGCGATAAATGTGGACAATAGACACATTTATACCTTTCCGCAGGACGACGCGATCTGGCTGGCAACAGGACACCCTCGTCCTCATCAACTTTCCCGAGTGCCTCGCTCTCAGCTACATCGTCAACCACTTCTTCCTGTCCTAGAAGTGCAGGCATGCCAAGTGGGTCTGTCCCTATTCTTGGTGTAGCCTCGCCAACCATCACAACGGTGGTAAGGACGAAGCGTAAGGTAAAGATGAGAAGAAGAAGAAACAGATGGATTACAGTTGCAAATGATTGCATGTCGGCTGAATGCAGAGCTGATGATGGATGTAGGAGTAAGGTTTTATATGCATCCTGCGCGGTATTTTATGGGCATCTGCTAAAGTCTGTTTGTCCTTTTACTTCAGTGTTTACTTTATGGACGTGGACAAATCCACATGGTCTGTTCAGATTCCTGCAGGTATATCGCACCATATTGTAGCACCTACAAAAGAAACCTCTTTGCACCATAACTTGATACCCTCTGTTCGCTGGATCAAGTTAATACTGCACCCCACGTTGCATTGCAACAGTCATTCATGAATGCGTGTACAACCTGATTTTGCTTCTCGGTCGAAAATTTATGCTTGTTTCATTCCGTTCCGCATCGCACAAGGAATCGAGGTTTAAGGAAGGTGGAAACAATTGAAGCCAGCTCCTTCCAAACATTGCATTACTACGAATCTCAGCAGACACTCGAAGGTGTTATGTAGCTTGACACTCGAACAATAGCGTCGCACTCGGTAATGAAGCTAGCGAGGAGACCTCAACTGCCGTTGACTGCTCAACCATCCATCAAGCTGGTGTAATAAAAGTCTTGGACAACGTTGTACTGGAATGCACTCAAATCACATAGACCTTTTTGTTTATATTACCCACTCCATGTGGTTGCACCTGCATCAACACACGCCTACACGAACGAGCTGTGCGATTTGTGCACACATCGCAGTGAGATGAGGTGGACAAAAGATGTGCATTACAATGCGTGCACTGAATGCAGATGATTGTGCTCAAGACTTCGAGGTCATGGTTGCTGGTCCTCTCGTGCTCTGTGGCATGCACACCTATTTTGACAAAGCACTTATCCGACACCCGTTTGAATTAGCACATTTTTCCTTCAATGCCCACACTCATGCCCTTATTGTTCGCAAAGCATACTTCTTCATCGCAAACTCCAGAACCACGTCGAAAGGAAGCATTTGGATAAGTTAAAAGGATTGCCGGATGCAAGGTATAGCAGTACACTTTGTTGATGGCCGTGCTTCGATGCTTTGCAGACTCGATCACCACAACAAATTTTTTCGTTCATTGGGTTTATCTTCGTTGATATACAAAACTGGTTGCTCAAGACTTCGGGAGTGACAATTTCCATTTAGACTTGGTCCTCTTTGTGTGTGAATCAAGCTGAATAGCTTTGTGGATTTTCCTCTGTCTTTAACACCACACACATGTCCATTACGCACGTGGTACTCATTTTAATCCATTTTAATCTAATGCATTCATTGCTTGTAATCAATTTGCATTCGTTTCCATGTTCACATTGCCCCATTAGCCTTTTCTATCAACCATTAGCTGTAAGTGGACTGTAGGGCTCCCAGTACGAAGTCACACAGTTCGGTGTCGAACCTATTTTGATAGCTGGTCCGAGAGTGTATTGGGTAATGACCACCAAGCAATGTACGCAACATAATTTCACGCCTTATTTGCTAACTGTGCGACAGTTCGCAGTTCGTTTATTGAGAAGTTTGCTGTTTGTCCGCCAGCAAACCCGAAAATTGGTGTTCGAATTTCAACGGCCAACCACTTCTCCAGGTACGTGAACAATATTTAATTTCCACAAGAACTACTGGGAGACCAAATTGCAATGGCAACACTTTTGTGGTCCTTAATCCGTCTACCCAAAGGCAAGGATACCAACCATCCGTCACCCCAAATAATCGCAAAGGGACCGCCGGTCAGGTGCATGAGACTGTAAATGAGTGGCATTGAAAATTGGGATCTTGAGGACATAGCTGTTGCTTCGTCTGCGTCAACGTGAACATCTATCGGGAAGTCGTTGTGTTGCAGGTACTCGCTATAACGCCTTTGATCTATGCTAAACA